AGCCTGTCACAGCAAGGAAAGTATCAGAGTGAGAGTGTGAGATGGCTGGTCACATAACCTCTGCATCAGGGAGCTGCAAGGGATGAATGTCTTTCCTCCTTTTTGTTCTGTTTGGAACCCCAGTCCCTGGGGTGATGGTGCCCATGTTTAGAGTTGGTCTCTTCCTTGCTCAGTCAAAACTTTCAGAAATATCCTCTCAGGTACACTCAAAGGTGTGCCTCATTCATTTCCTCCTTTTTTTGGTGGAGGTTTCAAGATACGGTTTCACACAGAGATTCACCTTCCTCTGCCTCCCAAGTGCTAGGTTAAAGGTGTGTGTTACCACCACCCAGCTCCTCCAGATTTCTTAATCCAGTCAAGCTGACTGTGGGTAGTAACTATAGAGTTAGTTACCTGGTATTACCAGAGCACACAAATCTTCCTTTGGTAAGCAGTCTGATGTCTGGGGAATTGGTTGTCCAACTTCCCTTTAGCTTTTGAAAATATTCAACCATTATTTAAGGCATTTGTTTGTTTGTTTGTTTATTAAATGAGTGTTCTCTCTGTCATTAATGGTTTTAATTTGCTCCACATTGTGTCAATTTAGTTAATTATTAAAGGTGTATACAACACTGTTCTTAGAAGACTTTCTGTTGGTTCTGATGAACTTCCCACATTTTCCATTCATTTTGGTTAATTCTGCCATGTTTCGTAGATCAATGACCATGCTGTAGACAGAAAGCGTTTCCCTCTCTCTGTTCTTGGTGTCTGTTCTCTCTGATTCTTTGTTTCTGCTCCATCAAACTCCAGCATATCCAGCTCAGTGTAAGAAACAATCACGTTATCTTTCAAACATGCAATATTTTTTGTTCGCTTTGTTTTTTTGACTACTGTTATTCAGAAGCTCTTTTCCCAGGGCCAGATTTTATATCATTGATCTTTCTGTGTTCTTTAAACACAGCCCTCGAACCACCCCAACCTTGAAGTAACAAGGATAAATCTTGAAGGTAAGACCGTCACTGCTATATCCTTAGGCTAGGTAGCTACGTGCACTCGTGCAGTGACTGGGATGTGTTGTATTAGCTTCTGCAACCAGAAACAAAAGTTAAATATGAATATCCATGGGGACATTGAACATCTGTAGTGTGTGCGGTTTGGCACCACCCTAAATGAAAACGCAAAGATGGATTGGTACTTATGGGCTCTCATCTGATGATGGCAGAGCTGCTAAGCTTGGTTACATGCTGCATTGTTTACAGAAAGCAACGTTTGTTCCTTGTACTTCACAGCAGCATCTCTCAACGGAGGGCACTGCCCTTCCTCCATCCTGGGACATCTCTGTGGCACCGTCTCAATCTCTTGAGTGTACCTGTGCTATTGGGATCTAGAAGTATCGGGCAGGAGTGTTTCAGCCAAACACAACATAGTTTGTAGTAGAATCATGAGCAACCAGCTGTTCCCCAAAGCCAAAGTTGTCTTGCTGAGAAGGCCATCTGCAGGGGTGCTTGTTCCTCATCCTCAGGTTAGAGATGGAGAGTTAGGAGAAGGGAATACATATGTGCTCTCGGGTTCCCTCGGGCAGCTGTGACTTTGATGACAGTCACTTCTTGAAAACAACATTTCCTACCATTGCCTCTACATGGTGGGAAGATAAAGAGTTGGTGTAGCCACAAAGGACTTTTAAGAGTTTTCAGTAGGAGCTTCTCACGGTACACGCACTATGTTTGTCCCTAAAGCTATTTTATTCACCCCTTATGCTTAGGACAAATGGTGAGGTTAGACATGAGGAGAAACCTGACTTTCATGAGTGGATCTGGAGTAGCATTTCTGGAGAAGTCAAGTTTAGTTTCTAGAGGGAGGGGGATGTGGAAATACATAGAACGTTCTGATCTTGGGAATGGGTTTGATGTGTAGAGACAAAAGCAGTTTTGGAGGCACATGATAAAGAAGCATAATTAAATTATATCCCTCATAAGCTCCGTGATTTTGGTGGTGTGAATGTTGTGTGCATAGTCTTCATTCATTCATTCATTCATTCATTAATTCATTCATTCATTCATATAAGTGCTCAGCTCAGTAGAAGATTTGAAAGGTCAGGAATTTCATGCTCTACATAGTGATGGAAAGGGGCTAAAGGAAATTGGTGTGCTTAGTGGCTAAGAGAAGTGGTCCTTAAGTTAGATTGGCTTTGAATCTAAGTTCTTGTGTGTATCAATATCCTTGGGCAGTTTATTAATCAGCCCCAGTTTCTTCAGATGTAAAGTGAGTATTACAGTAATAGTCCTAATTTGGATGTCTGATTATAAAAGACATATATGAAGTGTGTGTGTGTGTGTGTGCACGTGTGTGTATGTGTGTGTGTGTGTTGTGCTGATTGCCTATCATGATTGTCACTTCCCTGATCTGGTTACAAATTCTGCCTTCTCCTCCTGAGAATGCTGTATAAGGTTTTCTTCTGGTGCTTTGCTGCCAGAACTGTGGGTACGATCTATTCATTCTTTCAGGGGATGAACATACTCTGGCCACATGCTGCTTTGTAGGCCTAGTGTGGGACTGGGTGTCCTGAACACAAGGCTTGCTTTACTGAGTCTGATGTGATGAGGTAGAAGGTATGTGTCTCTAGCATAGCACTGTGAGAGGCAGCCTGGTGACTGCACAGATTTAGGCATAAAGATTTGGGTTCCAATGGCTCATAATTTTTCTGATCCTCCATTCTTCACTTATAAAATAGTTTCATTGCAACCTTCGTGAACTAACTGTTGGGGACAAGAGGCCCAAAAATCACTAAGTGTACAGTAGATGTTCAGTATTAGCTATAACCGTTACTCGTCTACAGGGTGTTAGTTCAGCTTGTGTCTGTGGAACCTGTAGACATTTTTAGTCCATGCTGTGTAGGGAGATTTTATTGTTTCCTACTGGAGATGCCTGTCATTGACAATTAGAATTTCACGTGACCTCTGGAATCAAGTACAGCTGGCTACTGGTCTCGGTTCTGCTTCTGACTAGGACTGTGGCTTGCTCTTCCTTAATCAGTAGACTTTTCAGTGTAAAATGGGAAGAATAATGGGTTCACACCCACAGTGATGTTCTGAGAGTTAAGGGAAGTTAACCGCGTAATGAGCCCAGTGCGTAGCGGACTCTCCATAAATGGTAGTTCCTGTTTATCCTGTTAGCTGAACTAGTGGCTTCAGAGCCTCAGGAGGAATGACTGCTTGTATGTTCTCTGTTTAATTTTACACTTTTCAGGGTTTATTATTCTTTAATTCATCACAGCCATGTCATTATAAAAAGCTTTATTTCTATGTTTGCTTAGTAATATGTGTGACTGGTTTTATAAAGATACAGGCTTAGAATGTATTGGGTTCTGTGTCTTACGTTCTTGGTTAGTGACAACTGTGTTTCATAAATGTTGCTATAATGACTAAGTAGTATATTATTGCCCATTAGATATATGCCAATGTAACAGTTTAAGTTGTTTACAATACTTTACAGTTATAGTATTTCAAACCATGTATACAGATTTTTTTTTTTAAACTTTGCTCCTTCGGCTGAATTCCCAGGAAGTTTATACTTGATCAAAGTGGTAAACGTGGCTTTTGAATGCATATTGATTGCCAAACTTCTTTCCCAGAGGGGTAGACTGACTTTTGTTTCCATCTTTCTGATTTTGAAAACTTCAGTTCACTCTCCTACCCAATACATGCTTACCATGTCATGTTTAGCCCTTAACCATGTTGCAGACTTACTGAGATCATAGTAACAGAGGGGAGAAGCTCATAGGTAAACACAGACCTTGTGCTATGTGCTGATAAAGGCACAGCATACCTGGATCTCAGAGGAAGGGCTTTGGTTTTACTGGTAGAGAAGCAATTTTCAGTGTTCAAGGAATCCAGGCTGCGTTCTCTGATAGAAAGTCATCCCCCAACCCCGCCCCTGCTCCCACCCCAGTCTCTGCCCAATTTACAGAGGTGTAATGGACAATAAAAGTTATATGGTGTCATGATTTGCAATCCATGTCCATCGCCCTCTCCCAAAGGAGTAGGAAATACGTTTTCTATGAAGGAAAAGAGAAGAGGCTGGATGTTTGCAAACGTAGAGGTGTTGCTGCTTCTTTGGGGTTATTTATAGACATCTTTAGTAAGATTTGTCTTTTCTTCCATGGTCCTTGCTGTTTTCTATCTTAATGTGCTCTTTGTGTAAACTATTCTTTATAGTTTTGGGTAGTAGGGGTTCATTATGGAAAAGTTAAAAGAACACAAGGAAGCATAAGAACTTCATGTTTTTGTTCTAGAACATTCACAGCTGCTATCTTGTTTCAGTTCCTTTCCGAAGATTCAAAAATGAGCTTGATGTGAAGCCATTCCAAAGTTCTTAGAAAATTCAAAGTTACTTATTTAAACTAGGAAAAACAAACAAGGTTAAAAATTGAACAAACCAAAACCAAAACCAAACCAAAACAACAACCCAGATGCCCCTACTACTCCAAAGTACCCCCCAGAGAGGATGATTACTTCTGATTTTTTTTTTCATAGAAGGGAATCTGAAGAGACCACAACAAACCATAGTTTATAAGACTGTATTCTACAATGAAATGTGTGTCCACTGGGATAGATGTTAGGAGTGCTAGGTGGGAGCCAGTGATTGAAGCAGATGATCTTTAGTGCTCGGGGAGATGTGGCAGAGGAAGTTTTCAGGTTTGTGGGGGTGTAGGCACAGGAGAAGGGCTTCCGAGCTCAGATGGAAAGTACCAGGGTTGAGTCTTGAAGCCTGGGTAGAAGGGAGCCTGAGGAAGTAGGCTGAAATCATTTCTCCTGCCTTAATGAAGACGCAGGTGTGGAATGGGATGTTACAGGATACCACACACAGTTCAGTGCAGTTAAAGCTTGGAAACTGAAGGAAGTCAGAAGCCCCAGAAGTCAGTCAATTGCTGAGTTTCTCTGTGGGTTTCTCAGAGTCCAGTAGCAATTGGTTACCATGTTATCTTTTAAAACTCACACTATTGTGTCTTATTTTCTTTTCAGTGTCAGCTGATACTGGAAGTGGCCTGGCCTCTAGTTATCTTCCTGATCCTGATTGCTGTTCGCCTGAACTACCCACCCTACGAACAACACGAGTGTAAGTATCTGTGGACCATGCCTGCGACTCAGTGATGGCCAGCAAAATCCAGAGTGAATGTACCCTCAACTGAACCTTTTCAAAGATTCTGACTTCAGGAAAATACCACAAATATTTAGAACAGAAAATTTGACCTTTACTTTTTTTTTTTTTTTTTTGGTTAGGGCATGAACTCTGGAGATGTTTGTAGTCCCAGTTAAAAAATGACATTGATGATAATAATCTTACATATTTTAAAATCATGATAATAAAATAGCCTTAAAGTCATAAAGTGATGGTTTAAAATTCACCCTATTGGTAATGTTTTAAATGCCAGTATCTGGTTCCCTCTTGTGATCCTTTTGCTTGGATTGTATTTTAATCCCCTGGTTGAAAATCATAGAACATGTATTGGAACACATACTTTCTAAAGAAAGTATGCAGATATGTCTGTGTGGGGGTATATGCACATGAGTAGTTCCTGAGAAGACCAGAGGTGTCAGAGCCCCTGGAGATGGAGCTATAGGGAGTTTTGAGCTATCTGATGTGAGCTCTGGGAACCCAACTCTGCCAGACTTCTGCCAACTTCTGCCAGAGCACTTTGTGGGCTTGACCACTGAGCCACCTTATCAGCTCTTAGAGCATATGTGGCCTGTGTGTAGAACATCTCAGTTTGACTAACGTAATGTTTTATTTTGTTCTCAACAGTTGTGTGTAGACAACTTTATTATCATTTGCTTTAATTTCTTGGTAGCTAAATTGGGGCCCACACACCTACAATGACTTGGCCAAACTTACATATCTAATAGAGGTGGAATAAAGTTCAAGCCACCTGGCTCTCACTCATGTGTTTCGAAGGCAGTCTTGACAGTGAGCATGGAAATACAGTAGTGGCTAAAAACAGACAGTCTTCTGCATTCTCTACTTACTCATGGTGACACATAGTGTGTCACCAGGAGCAAGTGTTTTTATCTTCTCTGTAAATGAGACCAGCAAAACCTAATTTCCACTGTTATTGCCAGAGTGACCATTTTACAGTCTGGCTGTGCTCAGTGGATGGATGGAGCAACAGTTTAGAAAGGCCCAAAGAATTAGCATTTGTGTAGGAGTTTTAGCTGGGACCAAAAGCTTTCTGTCCCACACACATTTTTCTTACCACTCATCTGCTCCAACAGGCCAGTGGGCTTAGAAGATTGTGTTCTTCCAAAACAGCACTGAGGCTACAGTTATCTTTTGACTGTGTTTCTTGGTCACCATCCCATCTCTTACATAGCATGTAATGGCAGGCTCTTACACACTAGTTTGCTAATAGACATTTTATATATTCAAGTTACACCCAAATGCCTGATACATTCCCTTGAACGTGACTTTCTGATTTCGTCAGTTAGAATAGCAGAGCAGAAGGCTAAGATGAAGCTTGCTGACATATGCTCCTACTCTGCGAACAAAGGACTAGTGTGAAATTTTTCTCTGTAAATCTGTGTAGTTCAGGTCAGAGTCCTCGAGGTCCTCATGAGTCCTCTGTCTCTTTGATGTCCATTACATTATTTGACTAGCATCCTGGACACCCACTGTCTAACGGTCATGCTGTTTCTGTTTGCCCATAGGATGGGGTGCAGCATACAAGGAAAGGTCTTTGCCTGCCCAGTGGAAGGAAAATGAAATGTCTTTACCATCTCTGCCTTTGACTTGCACACTCTCCTGTCCTTAGGGCTAGTATCTCTGCAATTGCAAAAGAGGAGAATCCTGTGGTCCTTGGAGTACTTGGTTGGGTTATATAAATCTCCACTGAATGAGGAGAAGCAGCAGCTCATTAAGCAAGGGGCCTTGTTTAGTTTTCCTTGAACTGTTAACAGGGAGATAAAGAGATTAGCTGAGTAAACATTCAACAGGCCAGAGTCCCTACAGAGACTGCCCATGGGGACCGGATCTTGTCACACCCTTCCATGTAGCCTCTGGTTGGAATAGGGATAGAAGTTTTAACTGATTGAAAGGGTCCCAGTACTGATCTATAAAGTGAGGTGCATCTCAGTCTTTGGTTTAGTTTTAAGGAGTCTTTATTAGTCACTCTTAGTAAATATCATTAATATTTACTTGAAAACAAAAGGATGAAGAGAAACTGTCTTTGGAGGAAGGTGGGAGTTGTGAGCTGGAAAGAGCGTTCTGTTCCCGATAGACAATAGCAAGGGGATCACACTACACAATGGCCCACTACATAATGCCACACTACACAGTGGTGACATCCATGATGCTGCAGGACATGATGCCTCAGAAGTTCTAACTGGATGATTTGTGAGTGTTTAACCTGTGCTGGGCCCTCTGTAAAAGTGCAGGCCTTCTAAGACAGCCTGGGCTACAGAGTGAAACTTTGTCTCATAAAAATACACATAGAATCACAAGCTGCTTTACTGATAAGAGCTCCTGTAACATCGCATGGGGATCAGGATTTTGCAGCCTAGAAAACAAAGTGCTGGAGATTGGTTTGGAGATTGGCTTGACTGTGTTGCACACATGGCAGGGACAGAGGTGTAAATCTCTGTTGGTTTGTCTCCAAAATCTGTGACGATACAAGCAAGTCATTACCTGGAGGCATGGTTCTTAATGCTTGCCAGATCTTCATGTAACACTGAGCATATGATGAGAGCCGGAGCCAATACCTTTTTGTCTCAACACGAACAGGCCTCTGGGATAACAACCCCTGACGCAGCGCAACATTCATCTTGATTCCCATAAGCAGTATTTGTAGATCCTTGCTACAAACCTACCTGTGCTTTTGAAGGCTTTGACCTCACCCAGACATGCCAGGCACTGTTTGTAAGAAACTACTAAATGTAGGGAAAAAGGGTGAGAAGTGGCCTGGTGGAGGGGGCCTCATTTTATCGATGAGTGAGAGAGGAACAGGAAAACCGAGATAGTCTGGCAGTTGACTTCTATCTCAAGTGAGCATGGTTTGGAGGTGCTGTTGGTGAATCTTTGGGCTGTGGGAGGAAGTGAGGCTGACAAATGTTTGCCAGATGAAAGCAGGTACAAGAGGAGTCTGTGAAGAATGAGGTGATGGTGAAAACTACAGCTGGAAGGGAGAGGCGTGGGCTAGGATCCTGGAGATAAAGTTTCTACCCTAGCCATGTGCATCTCTGAGTTCTTCATCAGCTGCAGTGTGAAGGAGCTGCATTAGGTTACTGCCCAGGTCCTTCTCTGTCTCTTAGAGATGAGGCTCATGGTAGGAATTGAGCAAATGGGGACCAAGCACTTGCTGCTTGCCAAGTCCTTGATGTTCATGGTCTGATATACCCCATTTTTTACATTCCCGAGGTTGGTATCATGAATCTGAGTCTACAGATGATACCAAATAGATCCATGATCATCTTTACTTGATGTCAGATTCCTAACTGTTTCAGAGGAAGCAGGTCTTCTAGAACATGGTGAGGGGCTGAAGCGATGGCTCAGCAGTTAAGAACACTGGCTGCATACTCTTCCAGAGGACCTGAGTTCAGTTCCCAGAATCCACAGAGTAGCTCACAACTGTCTGTAACTTCAGTTTCAGGGAAGGTACAGACCTCTTTTGGTCTCCATGGATACCAGGTATGCACATGGTGCACATATATCTGTCAGGCAGAACACTCATATAAATAACATTAATAAATCTAGGACATGGTAAATGAGACAGACAGATGTGAGAGGCTTATGTTAAAATCACTTTGCAAGTCTAATGTTTTCTCTGTGTTTTCTTCTCGATTTCAACAGGCCACTTTCCAAATAAAGCCATGCCGTCTGCAGGAACCCTTCCCTGGGTACAGGGGATTATCTGTAATGCCAATAACCCTTGCTTCCGTTATCCAACTCCAGGCGAGGCTCCTGGTGTTGTTGGAAACTTTAACAAGTCCATGTAAGTACCAGATCAGGTTTTCTTTCCCAAACTTGCCAGTTAATACTTATCCTTTCCTTCTTGGAGAGGTTTGCAAAATGAATGAAGGGGGAATTGGCACCAGGATTTAAGACTCTGGGATTTAAGAGTCATTGTGATTATGTGATTGAAAGCTGTCTACTCAGAGTCAATGACTCTGGGAGACTCAGCAAGCTCTATCTGTTCTTCACACTCAGACTGTCTGCTGTTCCTCTGAAATGGCCACTTCTAGGAGCCAGGATAACTGCATAGGAAGGATCTGGGTTCTCCAGCAGCTCAGTGCCCAGGGCAGGAGTGTCCTCCTGTCCTCTGCTCTCAGATCATTGCTCTGACCCCTGAAATGACTGCAGTGTCATTGCTGTTGACAGGTCTTTCTGTCCCTGAATGGGACCTGACTAAGAGCATGATGGTGCTTTCTTAGTGTCTGTGTTCTTGGCTCCCAGCTCTGATGCTGGGATGCTGAATATAATATGCCTCTTTCGGATGAGATGCTGAAGATTCCCCAGATGTGCAGAGTCACAGAGTTATTGTGGACCTGGGACTATAGGATGTGCTGCTGGCAGGAGATAGTGCCACAGTTGGGACAGGCAGGGCCACATTGCATAACAAAAATATTAAAAACATATCAGACTGTTAGTATACAGATGCATATGATCAAGAGCAAATTCATTACTGTATATGCATTCTTGTTATATATGTTTCTAATTCATGGTTTTAATAAATGAAAATGTTTTATGAATCATTAGGCATATCTTGGGATATAGGCATTGGGCTTATTATGGCCAGTAGCCTTCTGTGTGTGTGTGTGTGTGTGTGTGTGTGTGTGTGTGTTTGTCTGGAGGATTGAGTGATGACTAGGGAATAGAAGAGGCCAGGATGGGGAGAGACAGCTGGCTTAACCCAGGCCTTTTCTACTTCTCATTCCCTTTACAGTGTGTCTCGCCTGTTCTCAGATGCTCAGAGGCTTCTTTTGTACAGCCAAAAAGACACCAGTGTTAAGGACATGCACAAGGTCCTGAGAACATTACGGCAGATCAATCATCCCAACTCAAGTAAGCAAAACCCTTCCACTCATGCATCCAGAAGTGGATATTTCCCTGCCCATGTGTCCTAGGCCTTGCTCTCCAGCTTGTTCCTGAGTGTGTTTTGTCTTTAGTGGCTGGATGATTGGTCTTTTCTGAAGAAAGCATTGGAAGCAAAGCCAGAGAAACTGGTTGCCCTAGACAGTGACTGGAGGATGCAGACCCCAGCCAGAATGGCACAGGCTTGCCATTAAGGCCAGCTGTAGCACAGATTGCTGCCAAGGGCATTTTTGAGCTGCCCATAGGATTTTCACGGGTAGATTTATAGACGAGATATTTCTGTGCATATGAGAGCAGTTAGAGTTCTAATTTGATATGGGCAAATAAAAGTTAAGCACTCATTTCTAAAAGGAAACTCATCCTTCTTCCTTGGAACTAGCCATTTGGATAAGCCTGAGAAGCATTTGAATTCTGATCTTGAAACAGTGAAATCTTTACCTCAGATTTGCTAAGTAGCTAGGCAGTTAGTTCCTGGGCATGCCACTGAGGAAGTATCTGGGGAATATACAATTTGCTGACCAAGACTTTGGCTGCAGAGATTGTGGCAGTCCCCTGGGCGGGCGGTAGCCTGCCAGTGGGGGGGAGAGGCAGTATACAGGCAAGGATGGTGTGCACAGTGAAGATTGAGAAATGGTCAGCAAGCCTTCAGAAAGTGCTGCTGTTCACACTACACCAGTGAGGAAGTCCTCCTCTTGTGATGGGTCAACAGTGGCCACTGCTCCAGGAAAGTCTTTTTACCCAATGTGGCATTTTAGGAGGGACTGGACTGGACTAGCCTTTGCTCACAGGCCTCTGTCCCAGTTTGTGAGAGCAGCAGTGGTGTAAAGTGCTAGTGTTTACACGGATTGGTGAGATCTTGCTTCGCTTGGATGGGAGAAAAGGCATTTCAGGGGGCTGGAGAGCTGAGAAATAACCAGTGCTTGGTGCTTTCCCAAAGGACCCAAGTTTAGTTTCTAGCACCCACCTTGCCCAAAACTCCAACTCCAGGGAGTCTAGTGTCCTCTTCTGGCCTCCAAGGGCACTACACTCACATGCACAAGCCTCCTACACACACACACACACACACACACACACACACACACACACACACACACACACAGAGTTTCTAATAATTGGCATTGCAGTGGTGGACTCCATAACTCTATGACAGATGAGGTGTGACTTCAGTACAGAGATACAGGCATACTCTTGTCCCTGAGTCTGTGAGGAGCTCGAAGCTGGACTGTTCCTGGCTGTGTAGCCAGATCTTCTGGTGCTGTTTCCTTCCCCTGGAGGACTCTGTTCAGGGCTAGGCTTTTCTGTCGTGGAAGGCCCCTGTCAGGTTGTCAAGCAGCAGAACCTGGAAACAGGGTAGCACAGACAAAAAGTTCTGGTGTGCATCACCATGTGACTTTGTGAATAAGTTACCCGGTCCCTTAGGGGTTATCTCTTCTTACTGAAAATGGGTACAGTAAGAGACCCATCCAGGGTCAAAACAGTATTTGACACCCAAGTAACATTTAATGAATATGAGCCATGATTGTTTTTCTAAAAGATTGTTTTTGACCTATCTATTTTGTTTTATGTGGATGAATATTTTGCCTGCATGTTTATGCATATACTATGTGTGTTCTTGTATGCATGAGGCCAGAAGAGGCCATGTCCATAGCCTAGATACAATTATTTTTCAGTCTGGACATCTCAGACAAAAATTCAATGTTTCTGAGACGTAATTTCCTGAATTAATTATAATAATATCACATTATTATGTATAGTATAACAAGATATTATTACATCATTAATATGATAATTCCTAAGATGCAAAGTCTGACACAGGGCTGGCATATAATAGATACTTTATTAACAGAAGCCAGTGCTATCTTCATAACATTGGTTCATTTCTGACCATCTGACCTTCTTCTTCTGCCTCTTAATTTATGGGGCTTACAAAATGGACCAGTGGAATTTCCAGTTCATAGTGGAAGCTGCCCTAGAGAGTAGGGTGCTTTTCTCCTCTGACCAATTGGAGTCATGAAGTAGGATGGAGGAAGGAAATGGCTGGGTGTGCCCAACTCTGCAGAAAGGAGCCCTCTCCCAGTTTTCAGTGCCCCCCTTGCCCTGCATCTAGTTCTGCTTCAACTTGCTTTTCTGTCCTGCCTAGTCAAGTACTCAACTACTGCGCTACATGCCCAGCTGGTCCTTGACTTTCTATCATTTTTCTTTGTTTATCTTGCAACAGAAAGTCAGGTCAAAGTTGCAGAGGAAGCATGAAAAAATGCTGCCTCCTTCTCTAGGAAGTGGTAATCTTTTGCTGATTTTGAAAAACACCCCATAAGTCTGACTTGGAGGCTGGACGTGTCATTGTTGACCCTGGACCATCCTCTCATGAGGAAGCTCATGTTGGGTGATAGCTCAGACTGTCAGGTTGTATTTGCCACCACCTTCTAGAGAATTAGTCTAATTCCATGTCCTTCAAAAATCCAAGATCAATTTTTGTGTCTGTTTCTGGAGTCTTTTATTTTTTCCAGTCTAAATGTCCTCCGCTCCTCTTACGCAATGCTTTCCTTCCCAACTTCTGCCTCTCTGTGTGTTTATGTCATTCCAGAAGTTTACCAGAAATTACAAAAGTATTCTAGCAGAGAGGAGAAAGGGACTTTTGCTTGTCTGTGTGCTTTATTTCTGTTCACGCATTTGAGATTGCATGAGACTTCAGACATTCTTGTCATCCTGTTGACTCATGGTCCATGTATAGCCAACTCAAACTGCAGATCTCATGAATACATAGAACTGCAAGTGACTTCTCTTTTCTCTAACTGTAGCTCTGACTTTTTGAGCTAAGCGGAGTTTATCTCTCTCTTCTGATTTACATCGTTAAGTCTGCTCTTCCACCTTATCCACTTCCAGCCACTTCAGATTCTGATTCTACTGTTATTCCACAGCTGCGATGTATTGCTTCCTGTTGTCTAGGGGTTCAGTGACTCTCTTGCTAATCCAGAGATGGATCACCATGAGAACGAAGTTTGAGACTGGTATTGGCTACCTACTCCTTTGGGTAGTACTTCTTAGGATCTTAGAAAGCTACTTGCCTATGTGGTCTTGCTTTGAGATCCATTTGGAGAATTCATCTTGTTCTTTACCTCTGCTAATTCCATTGGCTTGCCCCAGGAACTCTGTAGACACAGGAGTCTACTCCAACACTCTTGTCTCAAGGTTTCCTGAGCTATAGCATTGCTTTGTTCAGAAACTGTTTAGTCTGTGTGTGGATTCATGCACTGGGTGCCTGAGTTATTCAGCCATGTGCCAACCATGCTCTCGCAGGTGCTGAGACTCGGGGTTGAGGGGTTCATCCTAGAGGGAATCTGATTATATCGTCATGGGAGTGACATCCTGGGAATGAAGTACTGCTGCCAACCCTGGCTTCCTGATTCACGTTTCTAGAAAGAACCATCTTGTACTGATTCAGTAATAGTTCAGCTTCAAAAATTAAGTCATGTAACTCCTCTATTTATCACTGGATCATCCTGATGGGACAACCGAGGGTGAAGACTTACAGATGTGCCTCACCCAGTTTTCTTATTGCTGGAACCTTTGAGTCACTTTATTGTTTTTCTTCCTCTAAGCCAGAGTGTTACCAATAGGTTGAGTGGTGGCTACGTTAATTTGGGGAGTTAGTGTGGGAAAGCATTCTCCCTTTCCTATCATGCTCACACCTCAAAGGCAGTATAAACATCGGCTAAATTCTCAGAAGCCACAGAAAAGGCGGCATGTCTAGATTGTGGCCCTGTGACATCTAAACTTTCAAGGCTAGTGCTTTAAGTTTTGTGTGATATAGGAGGTGATTTCTGACAGGACACAAATGACAACTTTTACTTCTGACTCAACGTCAAAATGTGCCTTGTTGATTAAATGGATATTGAGAAGGAAAAGATGAAGTTAGGGAAAGTATTGTTTCATGCAGCTATGGTGAAATTCTGGAGAGTCGTTGGTCAGTGACTGAAGGTTGGCAAACACTGGTGTAGGAGAGACTTGAGGTTATGTCAAAACTGATTTGGCAACAGATTTACGTTCTTGCTCTCATTAACTGTGATCTTTGGTCAACTCTTGATTCCTCCTGGTCCTCTGCTTATCAGAAATTTGGACACAGACTACCTTGTGGGTCATTAAGGATTCAGTGAGATGCTTCCTATGGGGTTCCAGCAGTGAGCATGAGCACGTGGGTGACACACAGTAAATCAGAAATCCATCATTCCCCTCACATTCCAGGGTGTTTGGCCTTTGACAATTTGTTCACGTTTTCTGACCCTTAAGTTTCATTGTCTAACTTTTGAGATCTGGTTAAACGACTTGATGATGCTTCATCTTAGAGTCTGGCTTGGTCCTTGGGTGGGGACACCTGTGAGACAGTGGTAGTTTGTGTTACCCACCAGGCAGAAGCCTATTCAGGGCATGGAGAGGCCATGATGGTGGTTGTGCTCTGAGCAGTGGCGTGATAGCAATGCATAGAAACTCTGAGAGCATCTTTAGAGAATGCGGTGAAAGCAAGTCTAATGCCTGCCCTTTCTCCTCACGTAATATTGTCAAATCAAATGAAAGTGCTCTGGACGGCAGCAGAGTAAATGCAGGCAACTGGAGAACCACTTCCCTTGTGTAAACCAGGCCCCAAAGGCTCCAGATTCACACTCGTTTCACAAACTTCACAAATTTCACAAAATGTCACAAAGTTTACCTCCCACAGTTTCACTGGATATGCTAATCTGAGTTCCAAGGAATAACATGTACTGCAAAGGTTCGTGGAGCTCTTCGAGGGTTTATGGATGTGTTTACTCATAGATAATGTATTTTTAAAATCTGAGAAGGTTAGGTTCTTTTTTAAACAATTGTTCTTAAAGACAGCAAGCGCTGCATGAATTCCAGGCACTAGGGCTGGGGAGGATGCCCCTGTCCTTTAGGGAGGGCCATCCCCCCACAGCCTCCTCTCTGTCCCTGTCCTT